CGTTGACCACGCGTCCTCGAGAGAACGGAGCATTGTTCCCACAGGACGCAATTGTTTAGGAGGGGGGGGGGAATAAAGGGTCTTGACAGCGCTTGATAGCGCAGCAAGGATTTATCACAGGAGAACAACGGTTTTCGGCGAAAAAGTTTGTTTGCCTACTACTTCCAAAAACGAATCTAGGCGTCAAAGGCAGCACCAATTCCAGCTGTGGGACAGCAACGCTAATAATCCCTGCTGGGACGCCTGCTTTCATTAACGAAGATGTGGCCAAAACACTGCAGGGCGTGTTTACGGGTGTGAGCGTTCCTATCCACTCGTTTCTGTAACCTCCTTCAGGAGGCTCATGCCGCACCTCTTGGACCACAGACGACCACAATCGCGCTGAGCAAATGCTACAAGCAAAACAACAACAGCAACAACAAACCAACAGCCGTTCCTCTCATCGATTAGCTCGGCAAGGTAAAGCGCTGCAAGCGACAATTTTCATTACATGCCATCACCAGATGTAGACTAGGCGTGTATATGTATACCATGATGGTCATGACGCAGTCAGCCCGAGAGCGAACAGAATAGCACGACGACAACTGGGTCCTATGCAGCCAACTAGTCACCAAACGCAACGCGAGGCGGCACAAAACTTCAGGAACATGTTCGCAATCGCTCCACCTGACTCATGACGTGCGAGATTATGGCCTCCGCGCCGCCGACCGCATCAACGCCCTGCCCCTCCCTGAGGAGAGCAACACGGTTTTACGACGACACGAGTTTATTGCAGCCAAGCTTATATATGACGGGTTAACGATAGGACACTACATGACCGAGACTGACTGCTGTTCACGCAGAGAGCAAGCGATACATACCAGAACGGCCTGTAGTAGTGCGCGTGAGGACATCATCTCGCCACACTTTCGTGTCTCCCTTTCTACTAGATGCCTAGCTGGGGCCCGATCCAGTCTTTCCCCGGTTCGATTGGTTGATTCAACGTTATCTTCTTCACACGGGGGTTCTACCTAGACAAACCCGCCAATACCATGAGCCGCACGGCATGGAGCCAAAGGCCGAGAATGCTTGCAGTATTCCATAAAACATGTAACAATACGGGTCAAAGCAAGGCACGACATCAAGGGCCGAGACTTACGTGCAGTATTCCATGATACATTTAACAACACGGGTCAAAGAAAGAGGCAGATTTGCGACACAACGGCCGAATCTTGAGCTCGAGGACGTCGCATCAGGAACGGCGTATCATGAAGGCAGAGAAAGGTAACTGGACATGGCAGACGCGTAAAAAACAGCGCTTACCGCTACAAGAGCGCCTGAAAAAAGTTGGAGCACGCCACAAAGGTCCGTTGCCGCGGAGAAACATAGGTGTAATTGCGCCTACAGGGACCTGCGTCGCTGGCGAACGGCAACATGGGACAGAGAAGGCCGACGACGTCGCGCCTCTAATGTTTCTCCCCGCTCACGCCCCCGCCGTTCGTGCATACGTTTGGTTACCTATAGGCTTGCAACGCTTCCTCGTCTTCATCATCTGGAAACCTAGCCACCACAGCGATCGCCGTGCACCTGTCGCGATTCAAAGAGTCCAACAAACAGCGGGGCACAATTAGTCCAGTGGGGCTTCTGTTGCCCCCCCTCGGGCGGTACGCAGAAGTGGGGCGACACACCCCGCCTCCCGTTGCGCCACCAAACGCCACGCAGCGTCACCTACCGCCGCACTACTTGCAACAGCAGCCATGTGGCCCCTGTTTTATAGACCAATTTTGTTAAGGCCACAAGCACGTCTGCAAATAACTTACTTCCTTTTGTGGTTGCATCCAGGTTATTAAAAGACCACAAACACGTCTACACATATATAGAAGTACCTTTTGTGGTTGCACCCACGAACAACTGACGGGCACGTCTACAAAGCAGCCGCCAAGAGATCGATCGAAGAACTCGAAGGGCAACTCTTTTCCTGCCGGGAGCGATTTCCCTGCCACCGCCACCAACTGGCAAAAACAAAAAAGAAACGGGTAGCACGACCAAACGCAGCGGGCTTTGCTTGTCTCACCCCGACTCCTCCACAAGCCTTCTACCCGCGTTCACGAGAGAGTCCAGCCCCTTGACGGTGCCCCAGCTCGCACCCCCCGTGGTCATCTCGAGGGTAACCCCGGCGGGCTTCTCCGTCACGCAGTACTCGGCCACGTTGATGCCGAGCGTCGCCCGTGCCGCATTAGCTGCCTGTTTTCATTATAGTTTTATTAAGTGGTGGGGTTCAGCGTGCGGGGGGAGG